CTCTCCCACTCTAACCTCTTTTTTTTTTTTTTTTCCTTCCCCTCCCCCATGGGTTCCTGTTAAGTTTCTCAGGATCCACATAAGAGTGAAACCATATGGTATCTGTCTTTCTCTGTATGGCTTATTTCACTTAGCATCACACTCTCCAGTTCCATCCACGTTGCTACAAAAGGCCATATTTCATTTTTTCTCATTGCCACGTAGTATTCCATTGTGTATATAAACCACAATTTCTTTATCCATTCATGCATGAGACTCTTAAATGATATAGAAAACAAAATTTGGAGTTACAAATCAAAGCTAGAACACTACCTTTTAGATACTGTTTATAAAAAAATACTTAAGTGCATTCGTCTCTCAAATCACGTAGAAAGTAAAAAGTAGAGTTATGGACCACTGGCACAATACTACTAGCTTTTATAATTGCTCATGTATTTAACTTGAGAACTTTCTTTCTTTATATAGCTTTGTCTTGCTGTCCAATGTTCTTTCTACTTTACCCTGCAGGACTCTTTTGAGAATTTCTTGCAGGGCCCATCTCTGTTTTTTGTTTATCTGGGAATTTTAATTTCTACCTGACTTTTATTTTGTTTTTAAAATTCATTTATTTATTTATTTTGAGAGAGAGCTGAGTGAGCAAGATTGAGTGGGGGAGAGGCAGAGAGACAGAGGGAGAGAATCCCAAGCAGGCTATGAGCTGTCAGCACAGAGCCCATCGTGGGGCTCAGTGTCACTGACTGTGAGATCATGACCTGCGCCAAAGTCAAGTCGGCTGCTTAACTGACTGAGCCTCCCAGGAGCCCTCTACCTCACTTTTGAAAGGCAGTTTTTACCAGATACTGGATTCATTAACATTTTTTTTTTTTTCTTTTAGCACTTTGAATATATTGGCCAGCTGTCCTAGCCTCCAGTTTCTGATGAGAACTCTGGTGATAATCTTTTTGAGGATTCCTTGTATGTGACGAGTTGTGCCTTTCCTGCTGCTTTTAATACTCTGTCCTCTGAAAGACTGATTATATTGTGTCTCAGAGTGGGTATTTTGGAGTTCTTACCTAGAGTTCATCACAATGCTTGATGTTTATATTCATGTCTTTAATCAAATGTGGTAAGTTTTCAACCATTATTTCTTCAAATATTCTCTTTTCCCTCCATGACAACCACAATATGTTTGTTGGTCAACTTGATGGTGTATCACAGGTCCCTTAGGCTTTGTTCACTTTTCTTCATTCTGGTTTGTCTGTTCCTCAGACTTGACAATTTCCACTGTCCTTTCTTCAAGTTCTTAGATTCTTTCTTCTGCCTCCTCACATCTGCCACTGAATTCCTCCAGGGAACTTTCATTTCAGTTATATTTTCAGCTCTAGAATTTCTGGCGTTTTCTAGGTTTTCTATCTCTTTATTGATATTTCCATTTTGTTCATTGTTTTCTTGTCTTTCTCCAAATCTTCCTGCAGTTCTTTGAGCAGCCTGAAGACAGTTGTTTTAAGGCTTTTGTCTGGGAGATCTGCCATCAGGTCTTTTTTTTTTTTTTAAATTTTTATTTATTTTTTTATTAGGTTTATTTATTTTTGACAGAGACAGAGTGCGAACATAAGCTGGGGAGGGGCAGAGAGAGAGGTAGACACAGAATCCAAGCAGGCTCCAGGCTCCAAGCTGTCAGCACAGAGCCTGATGTGGGGCTTGAACTCACGAACCATGAGATCATGACCTGGGCTGAAGTTGGATGCTTAACTGACTGAGTCACCCAGGTGCCCCTTAAATTTCAAAAAAAAAAATTTTTTTTTAAATTATCTGTCATCAGGTCTTTTTCAAAGACAATTTATGTTGATTTTCTTCCTCTGAATGGGCAATACTGACCTGTTTCTCTGCATGCCTTGTGACTCTTTGTTGAAAACTGGACGTTTGAATCTGATAGTGTGGTAACTGGAAATCAGATTCAACCCCCTTCCCAGGGTTTATTGCGTTTTGTTGCTTTTATGGTTTTTGTTTGTTGACTGTTGCAGGCTGTCTTTGTGTCAAAGATCAGTCTGAGGTATAACCTTAAGGATTTCTCAGTGTTTGGCCTGTGCCTTTTCCTGGGCATGTACCCCATATATTCAGTTGCTTTTGAATGTCTTAGTCCTTACTGTTTGGCTCCCAAAAACGATTCAAAGAGAAAAACAAAAGGAGGAAAGACAGGGTACCAGCACTTTAAGTCCCCTAGAAGTGTCGGGGGAGAGATCTGCAGAATGTGGGAAGGTACAACAATGGTTATTGCCTCTTTGTCAGCACCTCTGTGATCAGAAGCAGAAACCCATGATCAGAATATAAATGCCTTGTATTTGGAGGACAGGGTCCTTTTTTGCCCACCCTGGCTCCTGTCAGCTGCTCTGGTAAAAAACATGCACAGTTGCCTCCTAGGGGTTGGGGGTAAAGATGGGTAGTTGCTACTGTGCTAAAAGCTGAAACTGACTGAAATTAAGTTCAATTTATCACCCAAGCTTTCCCCTGGCAGTTGCAAGCCTTCAATAGATTCTAAAGCAACAAAACTGTTACATCAGATTCTGCCAGTGTAATTATTTCTAGGTGGAGAGATGGACTCCTGATGCTTCCTACTCTGCCACTTTCCTAGAATCCTCTCTGCTCTAGTGATGATTCTTACTTCCTGATTTCCAGGTGGTCATTTTCTAATTCCATCATATTTACTAGTTCATATTTCACTGTAAAAAAAGAACTTCATTTTTCCTCCCATTTATTCATTTAAATCAGTATAACTCATGGATTTGTTCAACATTAAAATTTTTAAAAATTTGAGTATAGTTGGCAGTTTCAGGTGTATGCACCCAGTGATGCAACTTGTCTATACGTCATGCTATTCTCACCATAAGTATAGCTACCATCTGTCAGCATATGATGCTATTACAGTATCACTGACTATATTCCTTATGCTGTGACCTTGATCCCCATGAATTGTTCATTGCATAGGTGGAAACCTGTATCCCCCACTCTCTTTCATCTATTTTGTCCATTTCCCCATTTCCCTTCCCTCTGGCAACCATCAGTTTGTTCTTTGTATTTATAGGTCTGATTCTGCTTTTTGTTCATCATTTTTTTGTTTTTGTTTTTTAGATTCTACGTATGAATGAAATCATATGGTATTTGTCTTTCTCAGTCTGACTTATTTCACCTAGCATAATACCCTCTAGGTCCATCCATGTTGTTGCAAATGGTAAGATCTCATCCGTTTTTACGGTTGAGTATTATTTCATTATTTATACATACCACATTCTCCTTATCTTTCTTTCATCTATCAGTGTACACTTAGGTTGCTTCCATATCTTGGCTATTGTAAATAATGCTGCAATAAACATAGGGCCACTTAAATTTTGAGTTAGTGTTTTAATTTTCCTTGAATAAATATCCAGTACAATTACCGGATCACATGGTATTTCTATTTTTAATATTTCGAGGAAAGTCCATACTGTTTTCCACAGTGGCTGCACCAGTGTGCATTGTACCTATAGTGCACATGGGTTCTTTTTTCTCCACATTCTCACCAATACTTGCTATTTCTTGTCATTTGGTTTTAGCCATTCTGACAGGTGTAAAGGGATATCCCATTGTGGTTTTAATTTCCTTGATGAGTGATGTTGAGCATCTTTTCATTTGTTTGTTGGCTATCTGTATGTCTTCTTTGGAAAAATGCTATTTGAAGTCTTCTACCCGATTTTTAATTGGATTATTTTTGTCACTAAACTGCACTCCAAAAAGAGTTCTATGAATTGGTAGTACCACTGAAAATGAACAAGAGAGTTTGTAACTGGAAATCTCTGCCCATACTGCAAATTATGAGTCTTCCTAAATTTTCCTAATTACATAAATAAAAAATATTTTTGTATTCTCCTCTGATTAATGGTCATTGGGCATTTACAGTTTGTGAATTAGCCTATAAATGACCTTTGCCCTTTTTATTCTCCCATGATTTAATCATGTGCCTTGAAATATTTCAGTTTATCTTTAAAAATTTTTTGAATGTTCATTTTGAGAGAGAGAGCATGAGAGAGCATGCACATGGGAAGTGGCAGAGAGAGAGGGAGAGAGAGAATTCTGTAGAGTCTGAGAGAGAGGGTGTGTGCACATGGGAGAGGGGCAGAGAGAAAGAGAGAAAATCTTCCCTGTCAGCACAGAGCCTGACCAGGGACTCCATCTCACAAACCTTAAGATCATGACCTGAGCAGAAATCAAGAGCCAGACGATTAACTGACTGAGCCACCCAGGTGTCCCTAATCTACCCATTTTAAATTCCCCCATAAAGCTTTTCATAATGTTCTTGACATTTGCTGATGATTTTCTTTATGATCCATTATTTCAGTGAGATTTCAAAATGGTGATTTTTAAATTCTACTATTGCTTTTACATTTATTAACTGAATTTCTTCTACAATAAAGAGTGTTCCGGGGTGCCTGGGTGGCTCAGTTGGTTGAGTGTCTGACTTCAGCTCAGGTAATGATCTCACAGTTTGTGGGTTTGAGCCCCGTATCAGGCTCTGTGCTGACAGCTTAGAGCCTGGAGCTTGCTTCAGATTTTGTGTGTGTGTCTCTCTCTGCCCCTCTCCTGCTCACACTGTCTGTCTGTCTCTCTCTCTCTCAAAAATAAACAAAAAAATTTAAAAAAAAATTAGAGCATTCTGCACCTACCTTCTGATTACACTAACAGTTCAATGGAAAAGGTAGGAAAAGGACTTAACTTTCTTTACCAAATTTTATATCTAGTATATCTTCTGATTTTTAAAATTAAAACATTTTAAATATGCAAAAGTTGAAAAATAGTATATCCATATTGAAAGCAACAGCGTGGCTACACAGAATGTTCAAACTTCTTTACCCATTTGAGAGGATGTCATTTTCAAAGCAAAGCCTTGTAAGGTCAATCTTATGTGACTAAATTGTTTAAAGATTTTTCTTTTTTTTTTTTTTTTTTTAAATTTTTTTTTTTTTTTTTAACGTTTATTTATTTTTGAGACAGAGAGAGACAGAGCATGAACGGGGGAGGGGCAGAGAGAGAGGGAGACACAGAATCGGAAGCAGGCTCCAGGCTCTGAGCCATCAGCCCAGAGCCCGACGCGGGGCTCGAACTCACGGACCGCGAGATCGTGACCTGGCTGAAGTCGGACGCTTAACCGACTGCGCCACCCAGGCGCCCCTAAAGATTTTTATTTTCTTTATGTTTTGTTAATGTTTACTTATTTTTGAAAGAGCACAAATGGGGAAGGGGCACAGAAAGAGGAGGGCAGAGGATCCAAAGCAGGCTCTGTGCTGACAGTAGAGAGCCTAATGGGGGGCTCAAACTCATGAACTATGAGATCATGAGCTGAGCTGAAGTCTGACGCTCAACTGATTGAGCCACCCAGGCACCCCAAATGCCTTTTTTTTTTAGTTTATTTGAGAGTGTGTGCACGCACGTAGGTGAGCAGTGAATGGGCAGAGAGAGAGAATCCAAGCCGTGCAGAGTCTGACGCAAGGCTCGAACCCACAAACGTCGAGACCAGGACCTGAGTCGAAACCAAGAGTCAGACACTTAAATGACTGAGTCACCCAGGTGCCCCAAATGTTGAAAGTTTTAAAATTATAATAAACAAAAGAAGTATCTTACCTGAACAATATTGTCTACATTGCTAAATTCCACACACTTCTGTCCTCTCTGGTGATCACAGTAATATTTGTTTTGTTTCCACTGTGGGGGTGAGTGGGCCCGAGATTGTGGATTGTTTGGTACATTGAGCTGCATCATCACCATTCCTCCACCAGGGGGCGGAGGTGGCACAGCTGGAAATCAGAGTTGGGACACTGCAATCAGTAGACTGTACCAACTAGCTGGTAGCTTTAAACACTAAGAAAATGCCAATAATTTTACATTTCTGAGCAAAACTTTATTATCATATATACAAGTCATATTTAAGCCCTGGAACTTCATGCCACAAGTGTTGTGTGTTTAAAAAGGCATTAAAATGGGATTCTGTAGGCCTAAACATCTCAGTTATTCTAAAAATAACAGATCCACACTTAGGAAAGTCCAATTACCTACTACAGAACCTAGTAGAGTATAGCATAAATGAGATATCTATAAAAGTGACTGATTGCTAAAATGGATTAATTTTAAAACTGGCATTACTTTAAATACACAGAAAAGAAAAAGTTTGCCATGTGGGAATCAGAAAGCCCAATTTTTGTACTCTGAAATGCTTGACTCTGGGGAAGTTACTTAACTCTTTTATTATATGTTCTTATCTGAAAAAGGCAGCTAGGAAGACCTCCTTGGCTAACTTTAAAAAGCCATGATGATCACATGTATGTGTAAACAGTTAATTATACAGTAGAGATAAGCAGATTACTGTATGTCTCTTTGTTTGACTTATTTCTCTCGTGTACTAGTCTGCAGCACAGCTAGTATTAGGCATACACCCGTTCAGCGTAAGGTAAGGCAGGATTCTTATGCCCCCAGGACCACAACTTGCACTTCAGTAACCAAAATGGTAGTTTCCAGTTCCCCAGAAAGAGAACCAACCTGACTGGCTAAGCAAACTAGAGAGGGCTGACTGCTTAGGGACACCTCCAAGTTCTCCTCAACCACAGCAGCCCATCTTGGATGCACACTATTATTTATTTGATAACCATTTATGGTTTTCTCTCTTTCTCAGAGATTACATATGTTAAGAAATCATTATAATAAAAGATGGTGTCATGACAAAGGATAGTTTAAGACACTATAGAAGCAGAAAAAAGCAACAAACCGTGTTGTGAGTACTAGACAAGACTTTGTAGAAGATGTGATTTTTGAGACAAACTTTAAGGACAAGCAGGATTCTCGCAAACAGACAGTAGAGGGGCATTCCAAGCAAAGGGAGGAACTGATAAAAAAGTATCTTTGCCATGAAATAGTATGGTGCATTCTGGAAGCATAGTTTTGTATGACCTGAACATGTAAGTATAAATAGGAGGCTTACTTGGTAGGGAGTTTAGATGGAGAATCCATCCATGCACATTTCTGATTCAGAGGAATGACATAAAGGGACTTTTTGTTTCAGGAAAATATTTCTTTTTTTTAAAAAAAAATTTTTTTTAACGTTTATTTATTTTTGAGACAGAGAGAGACAGAGCATGAACGGGGGAGGGTCAGAGAGAGGGAGACACAGAATCTGAAACAGGCTCCAGGCTCTGAGCTGTCAGCACAGAGCCCGACGTGGGGCTCGAACTCACGGACCGTGAGATCATGACCTGAGCTGAAGTCGGCTGCTTAATCAACTGAGCCACCCAGGCGCCCCACAGGAAAATATTTCTTGAACAGTGCGTGTACGTGTGAGTGTGCATGTGTGTTGCTAAGTGTTGGGGAGGAGGTAAGTTGGGTGTGGGAGAAACATGAAATCAGCAACACACTGAAGAGATTGTTGCAAATAAGATGTGAAAAGAACTGATCGAGAATGGCAGCAGTGGGGAAGGAAAGAAGGACGGAAAGACGGTAGGAGATTTGAGGAAATGGTAACAGCATGAATGTGAAAAGAGGGAATAGAAGAGAGTTGATTACGACTTTGAAAACTAATCTGGTCCCTAGAGAGAAGGTGAGATAAAGAATGCAGGAAGAGGGAGAACTAGTAAATCTAAAGTGCCTTTGATACAACAGGGTAGGGATGTCCAGTAGGCAGTTGGCTATATGGCCTCTTCTAAGCCAAAATAAGATGTGGGAGTTGCTGGCAAAAAAGCAGTTGTTGAACCCTAGGAGATGGGTGAATCACCTAGGAAGAGTATCAAGAGTAAGGAGACAATTCCAGAGAACACCAATATTTATGAGGCAGGGAAGGAAGGAGAATCTGAAGAAGACAAACAGGCCAGCAATGTCGTAGTAGTAACACTAGAAAAGGAAGAAGGGGATGGAAACCATTAACTCTGAGTTTGCATGGCATCCTAATATTTTGGGTACATCACAGCACAGAAGTTGGAAATCCTGTTCTAGAAATGCCTCAGGAACTTAATTTAATTATTTCTCAGATGGACAAATCATTACCTTTTCTTTCAATTATATTCATACCTGCACACTGGTGGCTTTGAAGCTGCTGGGAATTGCATGGTGAAGTAGTTCGAGGAAACTGTACTTGTTCTGATCCTGGATGTTGCAAGTAACCTACTGATGAACTACGGGGGAAAAATTGAACAAACACAAAAACACAGCACAGTGAGATGGAGATGGCTGTAAAGATTCTTTGAATGGAACAATCCTATACATTTATTTAAGTTTTTTTTTTTTTTCCCCCTCAAATTGGTTAGGGGTAAAAGTGTAATCTACTTCTATTCTCTATGAATCATAAACAAGTACTTTTTGGATAAAAAAATCTCTTTATGTTTATGAAAATAATACTGATTTTTTTTTAAAACCACTCCAAATTTCAATGCTCTTATTCTTTTACAACTTATTCTAAATATGATTTTTTTGTTCAAATAATTATTTAAAAAAGAAGAAAAATAACTTTTACAAAATGAAAAAGTAATTTATTTGGATCTCCCTAAGCTGTATTTTAGAAAAGAGAATATGCAGTTTGACAATTATGAGACTCAGAAAAAAAATGTTTTATTGCTCAAAATATGTACTAAGAATAAAGGAAATAGTAAAGTATAATTCTGACATATTCTAACATAAATACTGATTAAAAATAGAGGCTGTTGATATAAAACTATTCAGTTATTGCTGCAATTCTCAAGTTAATTTTTGAGACTCAAACTAATATGGGATTTGTCACAAAATGTCTTTAAAGTTTTCTGTTTGGCAAATTCTTTCAGGAAAATAATTTCAAATTGTAAAGTGATACTATTAGTTCTTTCTGAGAATTCTCAAGTAATCAGAATCATTTTTGTTTTTTAAAGTAATCTCTACACCCAATGTGGGGCTCAAATTCATGACTCGATATCAAGAGTTGTATGCTCTGAGTTTGCCCACTGACTGAGCCAGCTAGGTGCCCCCCACGTAATCAGAATCTTAATTTATATATAAAACCCTATTAGTTACCAGGCTTTTTAAATCACTCAATAAACTTTCCTTAGAGAGTATAATTTCTTAATCTAGCTTTACCAAGTTTTTGCATTAAAAATATGTTAGATCCAACTACTGAATTATAAAGAGTATAGGTAGACGTGTTAAACACCATGATGACACAATCAGTAAAATCCAGACTATGGGACATTCAGAAAGACAAATGTGTAAAAACATAATATTTGTGGGTAGTTAGAATTATAATTACCAACTAGATATTTGATACAATTAAGAAGTTAACTATTAAAAATCCAAAAAAATTTTTTTAAACTTTACTTATTTGAGAGAGAGAGAGAGAGAAAGAGTGAGTGAGTGAGCGAGCAGGGGAGGGGCAGAGAAAGAGGGAGAATCTCAAGCAGGCTCCATGTGGGGCTTGAACTCACGAACCATGAGATCATGACCTGAGCCGAAATCAAGAGTCAGACCCTTAACTGACTGAGCTGCTCAAGCACCTCCTTAACTATTAAGATTTTTAATGTGAATCCGTATTGTAGTTCTGTGGGTTAAAAAAAAAATCTTTTAGGGATTCCTATACTGAAATAATCATGAATGAAATGGTATAATACCTGAATTTACTTCAAAATCATAAGGGAAAAAGAGGAAGTAGAGCTTTAGATGAAAATAGGTGAGTACTATAGAAGTTATGGGTACATGGGGTTCAGTGCACTTTATATTTATATGCATTTAAAATTTTCTGTAAGAAAAAGTTAAAAATGATTCTCTAATTCTCCAATTACTAAAAATGCATAAAAGTTTTTTTTTTTTTTTTTTTTTTTTTTTTTTTTTTTTTTTTTTTTTTTTAGTGGCAGTAACTCATTGTGGTTCACAAAAAGGGAAAAAGAAAGGGATATAAAGAGAGGATTTCACAAAAGGTGATTCTGGACCATATGACAAAATGTAAAAAACAGTACTTCCTGAAACTGATGTTAACTATGATTGGGATGCATTATATGAGTATTAGCTAAGCTGTGGAAGTAACACAGCTTAAGACATGGTTTGTAAACATGCTGCTACTGGGAGAATAGAAAGTTTCACCAAAAGGTGGAAAGATTTTTTATATTCTGTTCTAATTGGGATAAATATTCTCTTGGGCTGTGCAGTATCCTTCACCCTGATCTTGTTCACTAAGCACCTTAATGGCTTACCCAAGTTCTGAGGCACATGAATGACAAGAAGCCACCCAGAACAGGGATGAGAATATTCAAGTCAAGGAGATGAGCAATACATCCCATACTACCAAACCACAGATTGCCATTCTGTGGGCACTATAGTGCCACTATAGTGGGTCCTTAGGTAAATGAATTATTAAAGTGAGTTCCAAGACTAATCTCCCCCAAAAGACATGAAGATACTTCAAGGGACAAAGACTGGGCAATGAGTAGCTTTCTTAAATGCTCTATTTTCAATTACCATCTAATTTGTCTTCTATAAAGGCAGAACTAGAACACGTTAAAAAAAAAAAAAGAAAAAAGGGGAGTCAGCTTTTTAAACACCATTCTCACATTAAAAATACAAACAGGGGCGCCTGGGTGGCTTAGTTGGTTAAGCATCCAACTTCCGCTAAGGTCATGATCTCATGGTTCATTAGTTCAAGCCCCGAGTCAGGCTCTGTGCTGACAGCTCAGAGCCTGGAGCCTGCTTCGGATTCTGTGTCTCCCTCTCTCTCTGCCCCTCCCCTGCTCACACTTTATCTCTCTCTGTCTCAAAAATAAATAAACATTAAAAAAAATACAAACAAATATTGGGGCGCCTGGGTGGCTCAGTCGGTTAGGTGTCCAACTCTGGCTCAGGGCATGACCTCGCGGCTCCTGAGCTCGAGCCCCAGATCAGGTTTTGTGCTCACAGCTCAGAGCCTGGAGGCTGCTTCAGATTCTGTCTCTCTCTCTCTCTCAAAAATAAATAAACATTAAAAAAAATTAAAAAAAAAAAAAAGGAAGGGACGCCACCTTCTCTTCATCCTCTTGAAAAAAAAAAATACAAACAAATATTTATGGGGCTCTGGGGTGGCTCAGTCTGGTTAAGCGTCCGACTTCGGCTCAGGTCATGATTTTAACCATTTGTGGGTTTGAGCCCCGCGCTGGGCTCTGTGCTGACGGGTCAGAGCCTGGAGCTTGCTTCAGATTCTATGTTTCCCTCTCTCTCTGCCCCTCCCCCACTCGAGCTCGTGCTTTCTCTCTCTCTCAAAAATAAAAAAAACATTAAAAAAATATAAATATTGATACATAATCAAAAAGGAAAAGTCATTTTGTAGCAACTTCAAAAAATTTCTCTTTTGGAAGACAAAGTAAAACACGAGGTCTAGTCCTTACAGAACTTCATACTCTACCACTGAATAGGAAAATAAAGCATCAATCCCATGAATCCATCTGGTCCCAAACTTCCTGAAAACCATGAATGTAAATTAAAACATAATATCAACTTTCAAAGGTACTAGAGTTCAATGCAATGAAAACTGGCCTTACCACTTATAGCAACTGCTTTGCTGTACTTTTAAGGAGCTGCCCCTTCCCACTCTATGGTACGGTCAAGTCAAACCGCTGCAAAACTGGCTCTACAGGATCAGTGGAGACTGATAAATGACACAAGGATCCAAAAAGTTTCTTTTTTGTGGGTTTTCTATAATGTTCATCTTATTCCTACAATGTTCTATGGTTATTCCACTGAGGTAAGACCTCTATGGAAAGAGGTAAAAATTCCTCTTTCTTCTAGTCATTTGTTTTTGCATTCTTACTATAGTTTGGGGTCAAAGCTATGATGGAAAAAATGATAAACACATTATATATATTTTAAAACCCAAAACCTACTGTAGTCTACCAAAGTGTGAAGAATTTTTAAGAATGTCATAAAACCCTTTATAAATGGGTGAAAATGGCCCTTTAAGGGGTTACCCCTGATGCTTTTGATTAGATCATGGTAATCTATTTGATACATTGTGAGTGGAAACTAATACTTGTTATTAAGATATACTCACTACATATTCGTGAAAATTCAAGTGATGTTACATTACTACCTTAAAAAACTTTTTTTTTTTTAATGTTTATTTTTGAAGGAGAGAGAGACAGAGCATGAGAAGGACAGGGAGATGAGCACGAGAAGAGCAGACACAGAGGGAGACACAGAATCTGAAGCCGGCTGCAGGCTCCGAGCTGTCAGCACAGAGCCCAATGCAGGGCTCCAACTCACAAACTGTGAGATCATGACCTGAGCCGAAGTCAGACGCTTAACCTACTGACCACCCAGGAGCCCCTTTATCTTTTTAGTTTTTTTATTTGAGAGAAAGAGAGAGAGAGAGCGAGCGAGCATGTGCATGAGTGGGGGAGGTGCAGAGGGAGAAAGGGAGAGAGAGAATCTTAAGCAGGCTCCATGCTCAGTGTACAGCCTGCCTGAGGCACTCAATCCCACGACCCTGGGATCATGACCTGAGACAAAATCAAGAGTCAGACGGACACTCAACTGACTGAGCCACCCAGGCGCCTCACACTGCTATCTATTTAATGGCTTTTAACATTTAATACTTGATACAGTGAAAAGAACCATGGATTTGGGTGTCAGAAGGCAGTATGAGTTTGAGTTCAAATTCCATTTACTTGTAGTATGTCTTTGAACTTCAGCTCTCTCATTAATAAATGTGTGATTAATACTTACCTTACCAAACTATGATGAAAGACTTGGCCAAATAATTCAAAATACAGTGAAATGTAAAAAATGTACATTTTTACTAACGATCAAAGAACCAAATTAAAATGAGATATGTCTCTTCTTATGAAACATGAAAACAACAAAAACAAGTTAGTACCTACAAGGATTGTAAATCAAAGGAAGATTTTGTCAAAATGTACTAAGGTTCTTAAGAAAAGATATATCTTTTGACCTATTAATTCCTCTCTAAGGACTCTATGCCAAGAAAAGAAATTCAAAATGCTCACTAAATGGTTCAATACAGCAAAACAAATGAATACGACCTAAATGTTCTTTTCAAAATATAGGAAAAGAAAAAGAAAAAAGAGACTGAGAGGAAAACATGAACATGACAACAATGGACAGCTTAGGGCTGTGGGAATATAGCTGATTCTTGACAATTTATATTATTTGGTATTTTCCAAAAAGG